CGGGATCGAGCTTGTTCAGGGTAGCATGGCCATAGATTTTATTTACTTTTCAAAAGCAACTCTGCAAAGTAGGGGGTTCTCATCTTCCAGGCGAAGAGCTGGAAATGTAGGGTTGGAGAGACAATTGCCAGAGGCCACATGGCAGCCTTAGTGTGGCCAGAGCTGAGAAATGACTCTAAATTTAATGTCGAAGCCCCTTCCTTTTCCACATATTTGGTCTTTCCTACCTATTCAGCTCAGCATGGTTATCTCCTGGACCCTAGGCTTTGCTGCTCCGGAGTGGTTGGCATTTACAAAGGAAGATAGCTAGCATTTGTCATAACTACAAGCTACAAATGCAGTGTAAGTTTGGAGTAAATTGAAGTCCCAACTTTCAAAAGATTTACTAACCAGAATTTGAGTCATAGATGCTCAATTGTTGTTATTCATAGGGTCTCTCCTCACTATATTTCCCACCCTCCCACAAATTCCTTCTTACCTAAATTACTTATGGATTACAAAAGTGGATTCCTGAGTTGAGGGCTGGTCCATATCATTAAACTCTGGGGAAAAATTTTATGTGTGTTTCCATACATAGGTCTTTGTTGATAAAGAGTCTTCTTTCTTGGGCAGTTTTAATGACTTGTTAACTAGATGAATGTTCCAGAAAGGGTATCCTGCATTTAGATGGAATCTTATCAGTTCTGTCAATCATTAAAATATATTTGAGTACCTACTAGGTGCCAGGACCTGTTCTGGGGTGACATGTTTAGAGGGTAAACCTCACTGACAAAGGCTCTGCCTAGGCAGAACTGGGTTTCTAGTTGAGAACACCCCTGATAAACAAGTAAACGAAGTCCTAGGAATCCAAATAGGTGTGAATCTGTTATTTCACTCTCCACGTTGGCTGTTCTCCCACTAATCTCCTTGAGATCAGATCATCTTCATGTTTTCATTTTTCCTTGAGTGCCTACACTTCTGGGGCTTCCAATGGTCATGCCTGTGTTGTCATCTAGGCTTGAATGGCCTTTCCTACCTCCCCCAGACTCCTGTTCATCCTGCTCTGATCTCAGTTGCCACTTCCTCCTGCTCTGTGTTAACATAACTGAACACCTACCCATTATAGTATCCTGCTTTCGTGGACATGTCTGTCACCCCTCTTGGACTCTGAACACTTTAATGAGGGCATCTGTGTCTGATTTATCTTTGTATCTCCAGGGCCTACCATGGAGCTTTGCGGGTGGATGCTTAATGTGTTTGCTCCAAGAAGAAATGTTGAGTCCTATGGCACCTAGTGGTGGGTAGTGGTATTACAGGAATTGTTTGGTGGGAAGGGACACTAAGTCTGGGAAGGAACGCTTAACCCTAACAGTTTTGTGTTTCTTGGAGGAGTTCAGCATGAGCACTATCATGAATAGAGGAGTTGGCCTAGGATACAGGCAGTAATTATGGAAGAGAGGTGTCATGGAACACTGATGAGTCTTTCAAGGAAAGTTAGAAATTTGAAGTTCTGAATTCTAGATCAGAGCTGGAGGGAATACTAAAGACGCTGGGTTTTATATTCGTGTCTAGTTGGGGTGCAGAGAAGCTGTGGTGTGACCTGGTTCCAACAGTAGTTAGTTACAGGTCGGGCGGGGGACCCAGGCCTCCCAGTTCAGAAGGCTTTCTACGATGCTTGGACTGTGGTTTGTTATATATAAGAGAACAAAGGCACAGAGAGGCGAAGTAACTTGTTCCAGATCACACAACTAGTAAGTGGTGGAGCCTGGATTCAGACACAGGTCTGTCTGATGACAGAGGCCAGTTTGTAACCACTAAGCTGTCTTGTCTGTTCTTGGAAATTATGAAATGCATGGTCTTAACACATTTTCAGTTTTCCTTTTTTCCTTTTTCGTTAGCTGTAAGCCATTATAGGAAAGGAATATTATTAACAATTTTTCTTTTAATCGAAATGTAGTTGTGTGTTTTCAGAAAACATTTTTTATATTCTTCAAATATTAAAATCAAAGTCCCTGAATTATTTACTATATATATATACCTGTAATATGTATATAAATAACATGAAGGTTTTGTTTTTCTCTACTACTAAATTTAAAATATTCCTATTTCTGTTGTAAATCATTTAAGAATAAATATTTTATACTATATTGTAATGACTGAAAATCTATTCCTTTAATTTCATGGACCCCAGTGTTATAGACAATGAATTTAATTAGAACATCCTTACCTACATTGGTTTCACATCCAATTCTAACATCTGTTGACATATGGACTAGAAAGTGGTTATATCACTATTTTATAAATGATTCTAGGCACAGAAAAGGTAAATGACTTGTTTGAGTTTCAAATGAGTTGATGGAGGAACCAGAAATAGACTTTTCTACTAGTTATACTAGGCTCACTAAAATTCCTAACTGGAAGCTATCTGTACTCCCTTGGCAGTCGAAAATCCAGATCCTGGGACATCGGCCTGTTTTAATAAACAGAAGTGTTTCTATTCGGGCTGGGGGACAGGGAAAGGTGAAGGGAGGGCCGACACGATTGTTTCTAGGTCATTTCCAACCTTGAAGTTATAACACAGTTTTTTAGATGAAAGATAATATGCTCATCAAAGTGAGAATGTTCATTTAAAAATAAAGCAATGGGACATCAAGTGGCTGTGTTCGTAGATAAATGAACATACATATATGGACTCCAATTTTGTTTTTCATGCTGTCATATACTGTATTAAGGCAAGAGAGTAGACAAATAAGTAGTTGTTTAAAAGTAAAACCGTGTTGTTCATTTAACTTTAAAAACCACTGATTAGAATAATGATCAATGTTTCCATGTAGTACTATATTCATAGAAATACTGATATAGCAGTGTGTAGAGATAGTAGAATGACACTCTCTTTCTCTTTGTGTGCTGTATCTTTTAAAATGCATCCTAATTCATAAATAATGAAGAAAGTAAATGACATTATTCAAATGGGATATTTGGGGCAATTGAAGTCTTAGCACAAATTAAAAATTCTTGTCTCTTCCCCATTTTCTGCCCAAATTTGTTTTTGTGGAATGACCTTTGGTACCAACTTATAATAAAATGTTTCCTGAGTTTTTATTTTAAATTATAATAGCCTTTTCTGTCAAGTATGGTATTTATAAAAGTTTCTTTGATGAAATGCCTCTGAATTTTGTGCAAATAATCCAGGCAGGCTCTTAGATTAGTGGTAGCATTTGTACAGGACTTTTATGGCTTTATATGGCGCTTTTACACTCAGTTTATTTGACCCTTAGCTGTGAGTACTTAGTGGAATTCACTTTTTACTGATGAGAGCAATGTACTGAAAGATTCTTTGGTGTGGTTCTGGGTACATAGTAGGTGTTCCACATGTATATTTGAAAAGAAAATGAACAAAGGGACCCCGACAAGTTGTTTAACTTGCTAGAGGTCACCCAGCAAATATAGTGTCATACCAAGAATTGAACTTTCTACTTTACTAAAAGATTCCATATGCTGATATTGTCTCACTGTTATCTTTTTAGATTTTCTGAAAGATCAAATTAAAAATATTCACTTTTCTTAACTGAGGTGAAATTCATAAATGCATGAGTTTTCATTTTAAATTGTAACGGCCTCTCTTTCATCATCATGTCGTAGTGTCGCTCCTCTGTTCATAACAGCGCTCATAAAATTGACCACTTCAAAGCATACATTTTAGAGGCATTTAAGTACACTCAAAGTGTTCTGCAACCAACACCTCTAGCTAGTTGAAAAATGTTTTTATCACCCCCAGAGGAGATCCCATATCCATTAAGCAGTCACCCCAAGCTCTCCTCTCCCCAGCTGCTGGTAACTACCAATCAGCTTTCTGTGTCTGTAGGTTTCCCTATTCTAGATATTTCGTGTCAGTGGAATCATACAATATGTGACTGTCTTAGTCCGTTCAGGCTGCTATGATAGAATACCATAGGCTAGATAGCTTGTAAACAACAGAAATTTATTTCTGACAATTCTGGAGTCTGGAAAATCAAGATCAAGGCGTGTGGTCGGGTGAGGGTCTGCTTCCAGGCTCATGGGTGGCTTTTTTCTCACTGTATCCTCACATCTCGGAAGGGAGCTCTCTGAGATCTCTTTTACAAGGGCCCTAACCACTTCCCAAAGGTTCTACCACCTAATACCATTATATTAGGGGCTAGGATTATGAATTTTGAGGGGACATAAACATTTGGTCCATTGCAGTGACATATTCTGTCTAGCTTCTTTCATTTAGCATAGTATTTTCAAGTATCTATGTTGTAGCATATATCAGTACTTTGTTGCTTTTTATGGCTGAATTATATTCCATTATAGGGATAGAACATATTTTGTTTATCAGTTGATGGATATTGAGTTAATTCCATACTTTGGCAATTGTGAATAGTGCTGCTATGAACATTCATGTTCAAGTATTTGAAAACCTGTTTTCATTGCCAGCTTTTATGGTAATTCTATGTTTAACTTTTTGGGGAACCACCAAACTGGTTACCATTTCCTACCAATGATGTCCAAGAATTCCAATTTCCCCACATCGTTTTCAATGCTTGTTATTTGACTTTTGTTTTTATTATTATAACCTTCCTAGCGAGTATGAAGTGGGATCTCCTTGTGGTTTTGATTTGCATTTTCCTGGTAAGATATTTGTATTTTAATGAATAAACTTAATCAAAAAATGAGTTTGGGTAACAAAATCAACATCAAAATGAGTGGCTTCATTTGTCTTCAGGACATTATTTAATACTGGCATATGATTACCCCTGGGGTGCATGATTCTGGGCTGAAAATAACATGCTGTGGGATTAGAAGGATATAGGTGGATAATAAGACCACTATCATCTAACTTTTTTTTTTAATACTGCCTAAATTAATAAGGAAAAATAAAACATTACATCACGTTTTGTTTTCATGCCGCCTGCCAAAAGAGACTTAGTACTTTGCATTGCAAAGCTTTCTTTATGTAATTCTTTCACATCTTAATGGCCTGTTCTTTATTTTTACAGTGTGAGTGAAGACGTCCAGGATGGCTCAGGGATCCGGGGATCAAAGAGCAGTGGGGATTGCTGACCCAGAGGAGAGTTCTCCAAACATGATAGTCTACCGCAAAGTAAGGTGTCTGGTTAGATGCCACAGTGCTGCCTCTGTGCGTTTGTGTTCTGTGGAGAGTTTATCGATGGTTGACAGCTCAACAGATGCTTTCTGTCTAAACTGCCTTGATGGATAAATGCCTATCATATTCTTCTCATGTGCTCTAGTTCTCCAGTTCTAAAATTCGAGAGTTAGATTTTGTCCTACTTGCTATTGCATACTTGAAAAATACTATGTGATTTAGTTTTCTTTAAACCCAAAGATGGCATAAGGAATATAGTAGAGACATACTCTCCTTTGGTATAAAGCCCTTAGTGTAACATTTATTAATCCAATGTTCTTCGAACCCATGGTACCTGCAAGATCTACTCTAGACGCTGTGGGAGATACAGAGGTACTGTAAACATCTAACATAGATGTTTACAGTTGGTATGAGACATTAGATATACCTAAATAACTGTAACAGAGTCTGAGTGTTAATTTCCAAAAGAGAAGTGCAAGTTGAGTGTTATATAATCTCAGAGGAGGGGCAATTGCCTCCAGTTTCAGAGGTCAGAGGTCAGGAGTGGTCTTTGAACTCAGTTTTAAAGGATGGGTAGGATTGCTTATGCAGAAAGAGAACATCCCAGGGGGTGAGATGTGTTCTGCAGAGGCAAAGAGCTGGAGAAAGTGAACAGCAATCAGAACCTGTTCGCTTGGGCATAGGATGAATTAGTAGAAATAAGTGGAGGTAAAGTTTTGGAAAGAGAGGCTGGATGGAGCCAGAATTGAGAATGTGGAATCACAGGCAGTTTAATCCTGGAAAAGTTTTCTGCCAGGAGGTGTAAAATCAACGACTCTTTGGGATTATGAGTCTTGCCCTAGTGTGCCAAATGCATTGTTATCAGAGTGGATTGGAGACTAGTGGGGGGTATTCCTGTATCTGTGAGAAAGGTAAGGAGAACGCTAATCTAGCATGGGACATGCCCTTCAGAACTGAGCAGGACTGAGCAGAGGGATTAAAGAGTCTAAATTAAAAATGACTTCGAAACTGAATGAATATGGAATTAGGAAGTGAATAGAGAATAAAAAAATGACTGGGTTTTTGACCTTGGGTTATAGAAAGACGTTGATGGTATTTATTCAAATATGGACATTTGGAAGAAGAATACATTTTAAGGAAGGAAATGTGGCACGTAGTTTTATTTGTGCACACATTGAATTTGATGAAATAACTGCTTCTTATTAAACACCTTTTTAATGTTTGCATGTTTGTAAAAATTAACTTAACTGTATTATATATTAATAAGGAAAATGAGTTAATGTTCATTTCACTAAATATTTGAGCTGTCTGCTGGGTTCTGTGTTTTCTTGAAGTCTCTGTGTTTGATCTATGTTAATCATGCGGACAATGTTGAATTAGGTAGTCCTGGATAATCGGTATGGTGAATTTTTCTCTTTTCCTTGTAAAGAATGGAACTCAAACGATTCCTGCTCTGAGTATCAATTTCCCTAATCCTTTGTTTTGCAAGAGAATGCTTAGATAACCCATCTCCAAGAGAGATGCTTATTAAGTTCTAGTGAAGAAAAATAGATTAATGAGACTAGCCAATTAGTGAGGCATACAGAATAATAGACAGACATTTATATATCATTGCTTTCTTAACCCACCCCAGGCTGAAAGACTCTGTCATGCTTGTAAGGACATGGGGTTCGGAGTCAGATCTAGGTTAAAGTTGCAACTCTGCCACTTCCTAGAGATATGACCTTGAGTCAGTTATTTAACTTCTGTGAGTCTTGGTTTCTTCATTTATAAAAAGAAAAATAAGGTGGGAAGAAGGATAGTACTTCATGGGTTTATTGTACAGATTCATTTATGTAAAGTACATAAGGCATCTTACATCCTGCTTGGCCTGGAGGTGGTCCATAATGAATGCTTCTTTTTCTTTTATCTTCAGGTCTTCTAGAGACAGTGACACTTGGAGAGGAAATAAACTATAAAATGTATAAATGTTGATGCTGTTAATAAGTTGACTGAAGTACGTTCATACAGTGAGTCGCTTTTTAAAGACATAGGAACACAGTACAAATGTTTTTATATTATTCAGAGATTGCAAATCAATGGATTATTAAAGGTTAATAGGAAATGTAAAGGTCATGCAATCCAGACAGCTTTCCACTAGAATGTTTGGTGTTATGTTGAAGAGAAAACTTCCTATAGATTTGTGGGAACTTGAATTTTTACTTTTTAGGCAGTAGCAAGAGACTTTTTTTTTTTTCTTTTTGGTTAAATTTAGAAACAAAGTTGTCAATTGCTATAGTTCTTTAGAGAAATGATCACTAGTCATTTGGTTTCTATACTGAAAATATATCTTGCTTCCTCATGACAAATTTGTGTTCATCTAATTTGCTTTATTAATTGCTCAAAAGGGATATTGGATCCGTTCAGAAAAAAAAAAAAAAAAGTGGCATACTTATTGCCTAGTATGGCTCCAGCACCTAGAATCATTAAAACCTAGTTCTTTTGGCTAACAAGTCACGATGTGTTTGAAACACGGAGTATCCACCTAGTTCTCTACTCTAAGTGCTGTAGACTGGCCACTGGCTATGGCCGAGACTTACCTACTACAGGACACTATCTTCAAGGTGTAGCTAAAGAGCAAATCTTGAAACCAAGGTCAATTCACAACATTTTCTATAGAAGTACTCTTGTGTGACAATTTAGTCAAGATTTTAGCTATAAAACCAAACCTTTTCTTAGAGATCACCAACAAAAATTTACATTTAAAAAATTGTGCAAATAGTGCTTTCGTTTTTGTTTTCCTTCTCTTGTTTGTTGTTTCTTTCTCTTGTCAGACATTTCCAGTGTGAAATTTTTGCTTGGACTATGTTGTGTTGATTCAGATGCTGACATTTAAAGAGCCAAATCTAGAGAAATGGAGCTTTTGGGTAAACTTTCGAGTAATAAGTGGGGTGATTACGTCCATAATGTTGTTGTGACTTTTAAATGCCATTTGAGATGGTAACCTCCTGACATATGAGTAATGATGGGTGGATTTCCTAAGCTCACACATTTCAGAATACTCTTCAATTTCTTTTTGTTTTGTATGTCATTAACTGTGAGAAGTTGTACTTTCCCAGGGCATGATTTATTTATTGACTTGAACAGACTTTCTAATTTAGTTTTTCATCTTTCATATTCACATTTGGGATTGGAGGTGTGTATGAAAAATGTATTGGGCCCATTAAAAATCTATTTAAAAGAAAAGCTTAATTATGCATTAAGTCGCCCAGAGCTGTTAACTGTTTTTACATTCTTGGATCCAAAAGATCCTGGGTCATTGAGTTGCCTAATGTAGTGATGATATTTGAACCTGACTGTACATCAGATTGTTTAGGGGTGCTTTATAAAAACATGCTTATTCTAAGAGGACCCCCTCAAAGATATTTGCATTTAATAGGTCTCAGCTGGGTCCCAGGAATCTGAGTTTTAAAATGTTCTCAGGAGAATCTGATGCTCAGGTAAGTTTGAAATGCACTTATTTAGTATCTTTTACAATATCCCGGTAGAGTATGCATCGTGAAGAAATGAGAGAGTTGGCGTTTTGAAATGGGTTTTTGATTTCATAATTATTTGTAGATCTCTCGAGATATAGAAGAACCAGGCTCTTGTCATAGAGTTAGAATTAGAGGATTCGACCAGCTTCGTCTTAGAGGTTTTCTAGTCTATACACTTATTTCACAGGTGAGAAAATGAAAGTATGGAGAGGAGGAGGAACTTTCTTCAAGTTGCTCAGCAGTTTCTCACTGAAGCCATCATTATGTCCAGGGAGCCTGGCCGGTCCCATTGGTGTTCTTTAACAACCATGTTGTCAACCACAAACAATTATTACCACATTGTTGGGGCTCAACAGACATTGGTGAATTAAAATAAATGAAAATACTGTGCAGCAGATCTTTGGTTTTTGTGCATATTCTCAGAGATATGGCTTGGGTTAACTTTGAACATTTGTAATGCTAAAGCTTCATTCTACTTCCTGGTGCTTTTGTTTACTGGGTAAAGATTTCCTGAAATGTTTACTTTCTTTTATAACTAGAAATTCTTTTGAGTAAGAGTTGGTTGCTTTCTGATTTTGTTTGGTCCTCTAGTGGTATAAATGATGTCTCTTGACAAATTTCCAACCAGACTGGTAATTTGATTTGGTAGAACTCTGGGCTATTAGAGGATAGGTGAACAGAGAAAATTGCAGCTGAACGTGACCCAGGGGGTGAACAGAGAAAATTGTAGCTTAACGTGACCCAGGCTGGGGTCAAAAGGTGGTACAGTGTGATGGATGATGCCAGACAGGGAGCTGACAGCTCTGGCTATCTGGTCCCAGCTCCCACACTTATCGTTTTGGTTCTCTGGATGGGCAACTTCACCTTCTTGGTTCTACTTATTTTGTCTTCTTCCTTTCCTCGTTCTTTCCCTCCTTTCTTCCCAACTATGAATTACTTCTTAAGCAAAAACAATCTATTCATTGCTCACCTAAGGTGAAAAGAAGCATAATAAAATGAACCCTGTGTACTCACCCTCAACTTAATAAATAAAACATGACTTTTGTTTCATTTTCTCTTCTGTAAAGTGAGGGTGTTGGACAAATAATGTGCAAATACATTTCTGCAATGATTTCCAAGTTTCATTCTGTAACATTTTGATCTTCCAGAATTTAAGATATTTCCCTGTTCAAACAATGTTGTGAAACTATGTGCGTAAGGGTCTTTTGAGTTTTTCTGGCAATATTTTAGACATTCCTAGGTAACCTAAATTGGATTGAGATTAAACCCAGTGTAGTCAGGTATCAGAAGAAAAAATTTTACTCGTAACAATTCAACACCCAACAGTTAAAGTATCTTCTTGGTGGTGACTTGTTTCTTTGGTTTGCTAATAACATGTAAGATATTTGTACAGTTATTTTGCAGTGCCGATTATATATGAGACAGCACTGGATATTGTCAGTAATATATAATGTCAGGGATGAATTCGGAGTTTTAGAGGAA